CTACTACTACTACTACTACTACTACTACTACGCCTACGATTACTACGACTACTACTACGACGACCAGTACTACTACTACTACTGCTACTACTACCCCTACTCATACTACTACTACTACTACTACTACTACTACTACTACTACTACTACTACTACTACCACTACTACTACTACTACTACGACTACTACTGCTACTACTACTACTACTACTAATAATAATAATACTACTGTTACCACTACTACTACGACTACTACAACTACTACTACTACTATTACGACTACGACTACGACGACTACGACCACTACGACTACTACGACTACTACCACTACGACTACTACGGCTACTACGGCTACGACGACGGCTACGACAAGAACGACGACTACGACGACGACGACGACGACGACGACGTCGACTACTACTACTACTACTACTACTACTACTACTACTACTACCACGACTACTACGACGACGACAACGGCGACGACGACGACGACAACGACGACGACGACGACGGCGACGACGACTACTACTACTACTACTACTACTACTACTACTACTACTACTGCTACCACTACTACGGCGACTACTACTACTACTACTACTACTACTACTACTACTACGACTACTAATACTACTACTACTAATACTACTACTACGACTATTAACTACGACTAACTACTACTCTCCTATTATTACTACTGCTAATACTTCTACTACTACTACTACTACTAGTGTACTACTACTACTACTACTACTACTACTACTACTACTACTACGACTCCCACGACTAACAATACTACGACGACGACGACTAGTACCACTACTGCTACTACTACGACTACTACTACTACGACTACGACTACTACAACTACCACTACGAATATCAATACTACGACTACTACGACTACGACTACTACTGCCTACTACTACTACTACTACTACTACTATTACTACTACTACTACCACTACTACTACTACAACTACTACTATTACTACTACTATCACGACTACTACAACTACCACTACTACTACTGCTACTACT